TGAAGTCTTCGGAGAAATTCGAAAAACGAACAAGAGAAGACGAATCAATGTGCACCATGACAATGCGAGCTCTCACACATCGGCTCAAACCAGCGCCAAAACGTCGAATTGATGGGTCATCCACCGTACAGCCCTGACYTAGCACCCAATGACTTCTTTTTATTCAAACACATCAAGAAAATGATGCGTGGTCAAAGATTTCCGTCGCCAGAAGATGCTGTTGAAGCATTCAAAAACCATGCTTTGGAGATGTCTCAATCGGAGTGGAAAAAGTGATTCGAAAATTGGTTTGAGCGCATGCAAAAGTATATAAATCTTGATGGAGAATATTTTGAAAGACAATAAAACCATTTCCGTTGATAAATATTCTTATTTTCATTATTAGGCCAGAGATATATATAGCAGCCCTCGTAGATTACATATTAAAAAATTGGTAATGTAAATATTCTTTTATAAGCATCGAGCTGTGAGAAAAAACACAACAGGGGTATTATCTTGCTTCTGCAAAATTGCACGATGACGCATAGTGCAAAAATTCTTCTATAACCAGCTATGACAGTACTGAACTTCAATCTTAAATAAAATTACTGCTTTTATATTTATGGTTTTTGTGTGACAGTAGTGCGCAATAAAAATTCCTTGTGAGATATTTTGTTCTAGATCAAAAAAGTACTTATTGAAATTTTATAAATTTTAGTAGAATAGTCAGTAGTAAGTATTGCCTTCAAGAAAGCGTAAAAAGAGTCTGAAAATATTTTTTTAAGTGAGTTTCATATAGTAAATATATGAATAGCGCAACCAACTCCAGAAATGATGAATGTCTTATAACCAACCACACAAAAGGAAATCGATAAATTTTTAATATAACGAGATTTCCTTTTCTATTGCAAAAATTAATAAAAATTATACAAAACAAATCACTTCATTCATGATATTTCCAAGAATCAGCATCAACTTGGTGAGGACCGCAAAAGCAAAACCTAAATTGACAGTATGCTATTGGTAAACACTTTAAAATAAATGGCACAAGGATTCGTGTTATAAAATTTAGAAAGAAAGGAGTTTTGATAGTACTGTATATTGAAAAAAATTACAAGTAAAAGATTTGAGGATCGTAGGATTAGACCAAAACAGGAATTTCAAATTGAAAGGAGAAAATCCCACGGACATATGGAGTCGTAGAAATCCTGATAGAGGACGTACAGTGGACCAATAAAGTTTACATACACCTAGTTCTATTAAATTACGAAACGTTTATTAGTTTTAAAATTAATATATTTTGTGGTTTCTTTCTATCCATTTCAAGATAATTTTTTTTTTTTACACAATAGCAACAAAATGTAAGCCAAAAACCGCTAAAACTATTGTAATTACTTTTAATTAATTTAAATAATCATTAGTGTAAGTAAAGTTTTTTGATATGAATTAGGCGCATTTTAAGCTTTAGCATTAATTTTTTTTATTTGTGTAAAAAAAATATTTTAATATGCTATATTTAATGTTAAATATACATATTTTGAAATTGATAGAAAAAAAACCACAAAATGTATTGATTTTAAAACAAATAAACGTGTCGTAATTTAACAACGTGTCGTATGTAAACTTTATTGGTCTACTATATGTATGTAGATGTAATACCAACTTTCATGTTAAAAAGCAGGATGGGAGATTTAATACATCAGGACGATCGAAACAAAATATGGTAATAGCCATAGCCATTATAATAGTAATTATAAACGAACTAATTCGGGGAATTTCCAAAAAATGGCAGGAAACCGTAAGCAAAACTTCGACCAATATCAACCGAATTATTTTAGACAAAATTATGGTTAATATCATAATAACCAATATAGACAAAGGCACAGTGATTCATTTGAGACAGCATAGGAAAAAATTGCTTAGGCTCGAATAGGCAAAGAAAGACAATTTTTGTTTTGTTTTTTATGAACCAGCCTCAGAATCTTTACTTAAAATACAATTAAATATTTAAGAAAAAATTAAATTGCGCCAATTATACATATATGAGCTTGTTTAAGTTTGATTAATAGCCAAATAGAACATCCATTAAATTTTAGTACGTAAACGAATAAGGATGAAATTATTTATAAAGTGCGGACATTAATATCAGAAGAATTTTAATTATCTAATAATACTAGAATAAAGTACACAGCTCAGAGGACAAAAGTATAATTTCATAATATGCCTCGCATTCGTGATAGACGAAAATTCAACTTTAAATTAAAACCACAACACAACAATAATTGAATTTAAAATTTTATACTAACCACTTCAGGACGGAATTGAGATTAGAAAACAAACCAAAGAAATGAAAGAACAGAAAATAATCCAAAAAAGTCACTCAAGATATTCGAGTCTTTAATAATAGTGCGGAAGAAAAAGATAATTACGGCGAAAAGAAATAAACTAAATAAAATTGAGCGAAGTCACAATAAAAATTTAAGAGAGCGGACTTTTGATTTAGCGAAAAGATACCTTTAAAATTTAGAGAAACAATAAGATCGAAGAAAAATAGCCTTTGTTACACCACATGTACTCTTTGATTTTATAGCAATAGCTTTCGGACTGAAAAACGCGCCTGACGCATTTCAACTGCTAGTTAATTAAAACCTTAGGTAGACATTTGTTCACGCAAGTGAAGAAAGCTCTCTGAGCGCTATTCCCTTGGGAATGACCAGAAACAATTATTTTACATATTGCTTAAGCAGCTCACGACTTCTAGTCTCATACCAAATATCTTCTGGTTCGCCAAAAAAAACACCCATTTGAAGGCGAGCTAAACTGAGAAGGTGAAACATACCTCCCCAGATTTGTGTACAGGGTTTGGAAGGCCAGGTGGATAAAGGCCTGACTTCGCTTGGAATCTCCAAAAAAGCAAAAATAAAGAACTACTGGAATAGCTGGGTAAGCAAAGAAAACGCAGCAACTACATAAACGGTACATGTGTCGTCTATTTAGACGACAATCTAATTTTGTCGCTAAACAGACGTGAAAATTCAAAAACTCCAAGTATAAAAAGAATTGCTGGTTACTAAAAAACAATTTATARAATATTATAAAAAAAGGAATTTAAAGATAACCTTTAAGTCCCGACCTAAATTGAAGCCTTTGGAAAGTTAAAAACACTAATGAGTATGAAACGTTACGTTTTCCAGATTTTAAAAAGCCATTTATATTAACCACACATGTATCTAATTACGCAATTGATGCAGTATTATGACAGAAAGGACACACTCTGCGTTATGCGTCAATACCTTTAAAAGAAAAGCGGAAAAAGTATTCAGACACAAATAACGAATTTCTTGTAATAATTTGGGGTATTACCTATTTTAGGCCACACCATTATGGAAACAAATCTAAAATTTTAACTAACCATCCACATATAAAATATCAAATACAAAGATATATATCACCTTGACAATACAGATGAATTTTAAAACTTGAGGATTATCAATTTGAAATCGAATAAAAAGTTGTTAAGTAAGACAATATACTTTATAATTTGGATATCATTTGAGAAAAATTAAGCGAAATCCAATAGTTAAAATTTTTTAATCAATAACTTAGAAGACGAAGAAAATTTAGCATCAATACATTCAGCCGACGAAGAGATAATTTTTAAATGCTTTTGTAAAGAAAGGACAACATCTTTTTTTTAAATCAGAAAGATTTTTTCAAAGGAAATCAAAACATAACCGGTTTACCGAAAGTAAAAAAAAATAAATTTTTTCTTAATCCCTCAATATTCTGCAGTCGAATATACAGTGGACCAATAAAGTTTACATTAGTTTTATTAAATTACGACACGGTTATTTTTTTTTTATTGAATAAATTTTGTGGTTTTTTTCTATCCATTTCAAGATATGTATATTTGACATTAAATATAACATATCAAAATAGGTTTTTTTTTTACACAAACAAAAAAAAAATTAATGCTAAAGCTTTAAATGCGCCTAATTCATATCAAAAAAGTTTTCGTATGTATCTGAACATTTTAACAAAATAATTTAAAATGTAAGTGTGCTTAAATCGGCTGCAAATAGCAGCAAAATGAATTTTCAATAGGATACGGACCCAAAGTAGACATTGTATCGTGTACGTCCAGGGTTGTTATGGAAATAAAATAAAACATAAAATAAACTCCATAGGTCCCGCAATCACTAGACATTAATTCTATTCAAAATATCTGAAACTTTTTTGAAAACCGTATTCGAAAACATCGAATTTCTTCAAAATAARACCAAAAAACTGGATAATCGACTTAGTGGGTCAAAATTTCTTGTTTATTTAAAAGCATAGTGTTTCATTGTTTTGATTCATATAAAACTAACAAACCATTTTTTTAGAAATTTTATGTTTCTTTCTAATTATTCCCATTATGGAAGTCAAGAAACATTGTTTTGGATGACATTAGTAATCGCTGTAATCAATTTTGATATAAAATGATCGAAGCCGTCTGTACATTTATTTATATTGTCGAGGGTCTTTCGCCARATTATCGTGGACAGGCTAGTGATATTAAGTCTTCTGCAATTTCCATGCGAAAATGAATTGGACTCAACCTTAGAATTATTACTATTATTGCCATTGCTGCATCGAATGCCTTTATAAGCAACGGTCAGTACCATTTCTATCCATGCACCTTAAWGAGTTGAGTATATTAGGCTATAAAGGTTAGAATATACTCATGTGGTTTTTTAAAAAACCTTATTTTTTTCAACTCGCGTGTAGTCATGCGAAAAACTTGTTTTTCGAAAGTCCTCCCAGTTCTATTTGAATCAAAAACTATAATATATTCTTTTCCTAATAAACTACGAAGTAAAAAAAATTTAAATCAAAAATATATATTTTGCTCAATTCTGTTACATACTGTATCTCTCGACCTTAATGGCGTGTTTGAGTCTTAAAAGCTTGAGCGCAACTTTAGCATGATTGTTTAGTTTTGTACGTACAAAAATGAACATTCATAATTCGTTCTCCTTCGCAACCAACTCACGTGTTACTGATACAGAATAATAATATTAAAAATTATTTAAGTTAATCAAATGCGCTTTGAATATTTGAATTTACTTGTATCACATTTTTAATATATGTTCATACCTTCTCCTATTCAACAAATATGCAATATAACTATTTTGGTACTTCAAATGTATGTAGAATGTTCGAGTGACGCTGTTTTGGTAATAATCTACTATAAAAACTATTAGAGCGTTGCTTAGTAAAGACCTGGAGGCAAACAGTTGTAAACTCGAATAACGAGTAATAAGCGTTACGTCGTCTGAATAAGAAATGTTTAAATAAGTTAGGCATCCACCCACTCTATCCGGAAAAAACTGGCGCACCCTAGCTAAGCACAGCTCGACACACCACAGCCAATGACAGCCCAAAACAAAACCACCGATCCCTCACCGGTCTGGTATGCAACCCTTACATCCACCCCGCTTCGTCGCCCACATATAATTTATAATTTTTTATAAGATTACATTAAACACATTAAATGATTGTAAATTCTAACCCGTGTGCATTTTTATTTTGAAAATTGAGTAGCAGTTTAAACAAGAAATAAAGATAATTGGGACTTTTATTTAATAATCCGACGATCGAACTTAAAAGTGAGTTACAATATACACGATCTATCGAGAAATCCGTTACAATATTAATCAACATAAATGAAAAACTATCACAATCGGTTATAGCTATAATTAAAGTATTATTGTTGACGAATATGTCTTCAATTCGAAGAAGAAAAAGGAAGAGGCTCAATGCTCATAAGAGGGAACAGTTCGCAGCGCAAGATGCACATACAATGTGCGTTCCAAAGTAAACAGGAATTTTTGAATCTAGCGCCAACTGGTTGCGTCATATACTTGTCGACTGGTGCGTTAGAATCTGCTATCTTTATCGATTGTCTAGTCAGAATTTCATTGGTTAGAAGTGAAGTTATTGCTTTTAATTGGCAGTATGTTTCTGTTATTAGTGCGCAAATGAGCTTCGAAGAAAGAGCCAACATTAAATTTTGTTTTAAAATTGGTAAAACTTTTACCGAGACGTTTCAATTTATGAAACAAGTTCATGGCGATGATTGCCTACCCCGTAGCAGAGTGCGCGAGTGGTTTCAACGTTTTAAAGTGGTCGTGAGGACATGAATGATGATCAACATGTGGGCCAATCAAAATGCTATATCACCGGAAATTCCATCAAAACTGTGCGTGAATTCATCAAAAATCAGCCGAAATCATCATGAAATGGTATTGAACATCTCCAAAACATCAATTTATCGTATTTTGACCGAATATTTGGGCTTACGAGAGGTGTGTGCACGGTTTGTTCCGCACAAATTGACTGACGATTAAAAATTGTTCAGAATCCAACATTCGAATAACGATTATTTGACCAACAATCACATTTTAACCATTAGCGACTTTCTGTATTCACCTGATATGGCACCGTGCGAATTCATCCTTATCAGAAAAATGCATTTTCCCATGAAAGGGAAGGCTAGCACCGGCATACTGGCGGCCATATCGGCCAACGAGCTAAAACACTCGTTCAATATGCGTTTGGACCGTGCAAAAAGCTGTATTGTAGCAGAGGGATGCTATATTGAATAAAGTAAATTCATATTGCTGAAGAAACCATCCATTTTTTTTTTGTTTTTTTTTTTTTGTTAAATCCTGATTACTCCTTGTATATCAGCACAGGTGTCCTCACAGTTGAAACAGTAGCAGAAGCTCACAGACTACGGAAAGCGGGATAAATTAAAACTAAAGTAAATTATAATAATTGTGTAAAGATGGTATCCGCGAGTTATAATTAAATCGGACCATTATGGCAACAGCTTTTGCCAACGTAAAAAAAGAAAAAAATATTTCTTTATTGTCATGGACTAACATCAAATGGACAGARCAACTTTTATCAAAGAGGTAGAAACAGTACCGGATGTATTTATCAACAAATCCGTATAGACATATGGTGTTCCCATAGAATTACATTTTGAACAAGGAAGGAATTTTGAATCTGCTCTAATTCAGGAGATGTGCTAGAAACTGGTTATCCAGAAAACCCGTTCACCTGCAATACATCCGCAGTCCGATGCAATTGTAGAATGATTCAATCCAGCTTTGGATGAACATATGAGAATAGTTGCAAACAAGTATTAAAAATATTGGGATACCCATATATCTTTTTTCCTGATGGAGTACCGGTCTGCAGTAGCAGGAAAGGTACGTTTTGCTAATTACCCTCTGTAATCCCGGCAGTTGCATTAGAATAAAGTGGTGGCACTATAGAACCCGTAAAAAGTTTAGATTAAATTTATGACCAAGAAATAACATTACATTACAGAGAAGTATAAATTTACTTTAAAATCAAGAAGACGTGATTTTTCGAACGATAGCGTTAGCATTTTTATTAAAGAATCGTTGAAGTGGTGTGTTCGCAATTTTAAGCAGCAATTTACTCACATAATTTGCTATTGTTAGCGGAAACACATAATATTTAGCATTTTGTAGCAAATTCAAAGATATGTATTTATCTATGTAGATATCCTTCGCTATACGTTGCTCCGATTTGTCTGGCAATGTAATATTTGCTTGTCATTACTCTTAATTTAATATAACATTTGCTGTTTAATATAAGAATTAGGAAACATTATCAATTTCAATTTATGAAATTATTATTAATATTGTACACAAATTTTTAATATTTACCCATTGTATCCAAGATGTTGTCAAACTCCCTAACATTGCAAAGAGGTTAAAGGTAAGGAAACAGGTCACAGAAGTGAAGAGATCCGGTGACTGAATAATAAAGTTTGAAGACGGCGATAACTTTATATCTAGAAAAATATATAAATTAATCTTACAGTTCTGACTAATCGAATATGTTATTAAATATATCTTCACATAAGCTTTAAAATAAGAGACTTTAAACGTACTATATAGTTCCCATAATGAGGTATTAACAGAAAATAATGGAAAAATTTATATATTTATAACTGAAATGTTACTTTAGATCAGATGGTTAATTTAGAGTTTTTGAGATAACAAGCACAAAGGTACAAAGCTAGACCGCTTTTTTGTTTGACCCCGCCCCATATTTCCCAAACCATTCWAGCGAAAATAACCATGTTTGCAAAAACTGAGAAATCGGTAATGCTAAAAGCTACTATAAATCAATAACTTAATTCACCAAAGACATTAACTTTTAAATYTGAAAGAGTTTGATACAGCTTTAAAGTAACTTTAGGTGAAATCATATATCGCTTACCTGCACGATCGATTTCAATCAAGTTAAATGTATAACATTGTTTTAAAATTTAGTGAAATCGGACAACAACCACGTCCCACAATTTCAAATTCCATTAGATTTTTTCATTTTCTGGTATACAAATCAGGAAGCAATTTATATAACGAGATAAAGTTTTGCACGAATAGTTCCTTTAAAGTATTCCACATAATGACTTACCCAAATTGGATTAAAACTGTTCAGGCCCCGAATATGTGGACCCAATAGTTACTATAGTTGACTTTCTTATCAAAAATATCGGTCAATGAAGTACATAAGTATATAATTTAAATTTCTTATTAGTATGTCTTAGCCTTTATACACCGGGTGACTCAATAAAATGGGAGAGCGTGTATCTTTGTGCCTAAATGATTAAAATCGATATAGAACAATATTATTCTAATTTAGCACTAAACCACATTATTTTGAAAAAAAAATGTACATTTTGTTTTATTAAAATATCACATATTTTTACCAACCTGACTAAACCGGTGGCCCTTATTATGGGGTATGTTGGCCCGCGTAAAATTGAAAAAAATATTTTGATACAATTTTATGTATAAGTCTCATAGCTCGACATATTTGGCTTGTTGGAATAACGAAATTCATTATACCACACACTATTAAAGTGCACCCACAGTTTCATCAAGGTATTTTACATATAATCACCAATCATATGGAGTAAAATCAATTAAGTAGGTGCTTGCCCCTCGGCTACGTCTAATTTTTTAAAATGTTTACCTCACAGGTACCCATTGCTACTGCGATACCCCATCTATATATCTTAATTTAGTGCTTAAATATGGCACTTTATAGGTTTACTTATGATGGTATTTTGTGGGCGGCAATGGTTCGATTACGCCCATCTACGAAATCAATCATTTTTTGCCAAGTTTCATTAAGATATCTAATTTTTAACTCAAATTTTAGCTTGCACAGACAGACCGTCGCACATAGGAGCATTTTTCTTCAAAACCCGGACAAAAGTGAGAATTAGAAACTWTAGTGATGCTATTCAAAATTGATTTTTTTAGTACCTAAGTAACTGTACTATAATGAACCGATTAAATGAATGTCCACCCAAGTAGTCGGAACCTAGACTTCCTGCAGTACGCACGTCCTTATTAGTAATACTCTCTATTGTTCTCGAAATTGCAAGTGGTTTTTTGTGCTGTGTGAAGCCAATTCTGGAAAATATTTTTTATGGATTCTGGTCAACATGGTATCCATTTGATAATTTAGTTAAAGTATTATTTTATTTTAATTTTTTTTTTTTTTTGAAAAACAATGAGTCATTATTAAAACTAAAAACAAAATTTAATTCTTTATATATTAGTGTTTTTGTTATAGTGTCGGGTCGAGCTATAAATTATTGTTTTTTTTTACTAAACTACAAGGATTCTACTTAAAATATAAACTTAAACATTTTCCCGTCATTCAATTTAAAACACCATTTGATTCTATCACTTTCCAGTACACAAATAAAGAATTAATTAATATAACGAAATAAAATTTTGCGGCAATAATTCCCTTAAAGTAGTACACATTTTGACCAATAATTGTCCAAATCCCACCAAAACTGTTCAAACCCCTAGATACTGAATATGTAGTCCCGATACCAATAGTTGACTTTTGGCTGTAAATATCGTTCAATGTGTGATRTATGAAATTGAAATTCACACAGAATCCTCTTCTGGTAATAGTATTTCATTKTATCAAAAATGGGTTGAAGCGGGTCTATACTTTCCTGAGCCTCCACATAACTGTTTTAAACTCAATGAAGATTTTAACAAACCTTACCACTGGTGGGGGGAAATGAGAAGACCTTATTCAAACTGAGAAATACTTCATTCTGATTACATTGTGGAACATTTTTGGGATTATTGTCTGGGGGGTGAGAAATTCAGTCAGGGTRATGGTACTAGGTCAATATAGTAAAACCCTCAAAGGGTTTGGCGGTCGTATGTGTCATTTTTTACGACCCTATAACCCCGTTTTTCCTTATCTTGATGTTTGTTCGCTTAGTTGTAACATTTTGGCAAAAGCCAAAAAAAAACAATTTACGACAATGCTCTTAACATCCTTGCGACATAAACATCGTAGTTGTTACAACAATGCTTTCCCAACAAGCCTTCTATTACTTCTTTGATTGCCTGCCATGCATTTAATATATGTCAATCAATATATTGTTGAATGCGTCAATTTTAATCAGCTTTCGTATATCTGGACCATTTAGTACGCCTGATAGGAAAAAATTAATTTGTTAATATGGAAAACCCTGGGAAATAAGGAAAAAAAATTCAAAAGGTCATAAAAAAAACACTCACACATACGAACGCCAAACCCTTTGAGGGTTTTACTACACTGAAAATCACCCTGACTTTGAATTTCTCGACCCCAGAGTAGCTGTTGAACTGTGTTATTATTTGATATTTTCATTGTTTATATCATATTTTAGAAAACTATTTTAAATAACAAAATATATCTGTAGGTGTATATGTTTGTATGTATTATACACTACATGGCGTTGTTTTTAACTATACAATTTAATACATGAGTATGTGCGCCTAATGTTATCTGATCTGTAACTTTATGACTTGCCTTTACCCATGCATTTTTATTATTATTTGACGGCCATTGCATGTAAATGCATTAGTATGTTTATGTATATGTGTATGTAGGTATATTAATATATAAATAGATGTTTATATTTGGCAGAATTTCGGCTTTGCTGATAAGTAGGCATGTTCAATGAAATTTTAATATATTTCCGAGGGATAGAAATGATTACTTAAAACAAGTTAGTGGACTGTATATGATACGTATGTATATGAAATTTCTTATCTTATCTTATTTAATATAACGACATGTTTAATTTTGAACATTCTCCCGGACGTCAAAAGTTACTGCTGGAAAGGTGATAACAGCTTGCGATCCTGTCATGGTCGACAACTAAGTAACAGTCGCGATGACTAGGCGCCTTCCTGTGCTGATTCAGTGATAGTTTGCACGTAACTATTTTTATACTCTCGCAACAAAGTTGCTAAAGAGAGTATTATAGTTTTGTTCACATAACGGTTGTTTGTAAGTCCTAAAACTATAAGAGCTAGATATAGGGTTATATCTACCAAAGTGATCAGGGTGACGAGTAGAGTTAAAATCCGGATGTC